TCGGGATTTAGCGACTTTGTTAAATAGAAGTCCGACTGTAATTAAATAGGAGCGAGATTGTTTCACAGGCTTTTTTAATTTTCGTGATTTAAGTTCACGTGTGTTTTGAGATATCTTGGTATTTTTCCCTCTCTCGTTCCTGTAAAAGAAAAAGAGAGAGAGAGAAGTGACAGCAATTGTTTCTAGGCTTAATTTCTCATAAAATAAATTTGTGTTGAAAATGAATAATTTAATGTTTGTGTTCTTCAGATGGCTGTCTTGCTGAAATGTTTGCATCATGATAATCGCACAGAGTCTTACTATCAAACAATGCTCGATGGTTTTGATAATTTATATCGTCAATCACACAAATGGGTCTGGAGACAGACGTGAGTCCCTTTCTATTTATGTGTCATTCAGTTTATCCTAAAGACCTTGAATAATCTTTCTGTTTCAACTTTTTGTTTAAAACTAGCTTTTATTTAAAATATGAAATCATTTGTACAGGTTTAATAATCCTTTTCCAACAGCAGGGCTGCCACAGGCGACTATTTTCGGCCTGAGGTGACTGTGGCAACATTTTCACCTGAAAAAGCTAGAAAAGCAACTATTTTCAGGAAAAAGAGATAGTTGGGAGACTTTTCTGTACTCCTAGCGATGTTTTTTTTTTTAGCACAAACTGGGTTGACAACTTGCAGCCCGGGAGCTTGTAAAACACAATGAAATTTTTTTTTATTTATTCTTTTTATTTATTTATTTATTTTTTTCAAAAAAAAAATATGTTGAATTGCGAATTTGAATCATCATTTTTTAATACGATATTACGATGCGTGAATTTGAGTAATCACTTTTCCCAATTTATATATATATAACTGATTTAGCAAATATATATATATTTGGAACATCAATTGTTGATAAAAGAAAAAAAATTTGAGTTTTTTTAATGTAAAAGTATTTCATGAATGTATTCTAGAAATTAAAAGTATTTAATTTTCTGCAAATGTACTATATAAAAATTATCATATTTGCCACATAATTTGACTAAAGAGATAATGGTATGTGACAATTAAGTCATTTAATAAAAGTTTTGTCATATTATTGAAAAAATTTTGTTCTAATTGAGGCAACTATTTTCATGCTTCTAAAGGCTATTTTCATGAGGCTACTAAAAGCAACTATTTTGCTTATTTTTTTATGTGGCAACTCTGTAATAGGTGAGTTCTTTTGGAGAAAACTCCAAATTAACTTTAGAAAAAGTAAACAGTGGTCGACATCGACGGTCTAGTTCATCATTTTCTTTGCTTGTCCATATTTAATAATAAAAATCCTTTTATCAATATTTTAAATACAGTATAAAGACCCATATCTCGGCATCCCTTTCCCAGAACATTCTAAATAAACATCTTGTTTTTCATTACTTACACTTAAGCATTCATATTCACACGATTTAAGAACTCACATTGTGATTTTCATTTTCGCAATTTTACATCAAATGTTGCAATTCTTATTTACGTAGCTACAATTGCGATTTGCACCCATGTGGTTTAAAAATTTTATATTAGAATTTGTTTTCGCGCAATTTTAAAAACGAAGATAAATATTCGCTTATATATATACATAGAGAGCCCCTGCTAAGCATTTGCCCCCATACCAAATGACGTGATGAAAGTGTGTGTTTGAATGATTTTTTCCACTGGAAAGAAAAATTTATATTTAACTTGATCTTCAAAGTGAACTTTTCTAAACAAATCAGTATTTTTTTATTACAGTAATGTATAGTAGATGCTCAGCATTACCCATTAGAATTAGGTTTAAAAAAATTTCTATGGGAAAAAAATTCATAAAAATTTTTTTACGATTTACACTTGACAGAGACTTTTGAAAATGAGTGAATAATTTGAAATCCTTAGCGCGGGCTCTGTGTGTGGAAGTCTGTCTTTGGAAAAGTAAAAACAATTTCTTTTCTACAGAAATTTACACGTGATATTTGAATCATATTTTGACATGCTCAATTTACGCCACAGTTTCGTAAATCGATGTAGTGTTTTGATTTGATTTTCAGCAGTTATTTATATTGATTATCACATGGGTTATAATATGGAAAGCATGGTTATACTACGGAAAATTCGAATTCTGCATTTGAGCATTTACTTTTTAAACCAATAATTATATTGAATTTTTGGCAGTTATTGCTGTTGATTTCTCCGTAGTTTTTAAACCCGATATTATTTATTACAACAGCCTGATCTTGAAGTTTCATGTGATTTCGTCGTCAATCTCTTTTTCGACAATTACTGCAGATTTCATGATTTTTTATTATGATAATTATTTACAAAATGCTACGAAGAAAATAATTTGTGTGCCCCCCCCCCAATTTATCTGAGAATATCACCCTTAATATTAAAATAAAAAATTATGTGTTCAATTAAAAAAATAGATATATTTATATAGTTATTTTTTATTTATTTTTTTTTTATTTTATTTGGTAAACAGCACTCTTGTTATTTTAAACTTGTAACATATAATTTCATTATTATTAAAAGTACAGTAGGGAACCGATTATCCGGAACGGTCAGGACCATCGCTATTCCGGATAACTGATTTTTCCGGTTTTCTGAATCGCTACAAAAAGCCGTTTTTTTTTTATTGTTAAACCCAACTTTAAAATCAAAAATAAAAACATTGGAAATAATCTTAAAAATAAGAAAAAATGATGAAGTAATGTACTAATGATTATTTCCAAAATGATGGTAAGGTAAACATCTTTTAAAAAAAGAAAGAAAAATCGTAAACTCTTATGAGGAAACAAACTTTTTTTTTTTAAAAAAAAAAAATGGTGAGAAAATTTATCGAATATCGTTCCGGTTTTTTGGTTTTCTGCTTTCCGGATAACGGGTTCTGTACTGTATCTTGCAGGAAGATATTAGTGCTAGAGAGTTTTATCGCAGATAGCTGGAAAAAATTCTCCCACTATTTCTAACGGAAACAATAAGACTCTTATCTTAAGATTAAAGTTTTGTCAGTTTTCAAACTTCAGTGAGTTAAACCTCCTTGGAGTGAGCTCCAAATTATCCCATAATTATAAGTTTAATTGAAATGAGAATATATATATATTGTGTTTGCAGTTACATCTCACTCTGTCAGGAGATTGTTGTGGAAGAATCCATGGATATTGCAGATTTCATTGATAAAGTTGCACCTAAACTCTTTTCTTTGGGTTATGATAAAGTGCCAAATGTCAGACTGTCTCTTGCAAGGTGCATTACATCTACATTGCTCACAAACGGTATATATTCATTTTTTACTATCTTAATTGCAATGGTCAAGTTGCTATACTATACACGACTCCGCAGGAAAATACAGGGAATTATGAGTTTTTCTTTACAAACTGGGAAAATGCAAGGAATTTATTTTTGTTTTCTCAAAAATGGTTGCCACTCAGCGCAATCTAAGGGATATTTAACAGGGTGCGTAGCGTTTTTTAAAGGTGCTTATTTTCAATTTTTTAAAAGCCTTTAAAGGTGCTTGGGTGTTTTTAAAAAGTGCTTCATTTCCCCTTTTTCAAAATGAAATTTTTCCTTTACCATGTTGAATTTCGCTACGAATTATGCAAAAAGACACGGTTCACATTGTTCCATTCAACGTTTTCACATTTAATTCAACCCCAATCTATTTCGGCGTGTTGAACGCCATTCGTTTGACATGATTCAAAATTTCATGATTTTTGACAATGCTGAAAGTTTTTTTTTTTTAAATGCTTAAAAATATTTTTTGAGTGCTTGAAAAGTACTTAAAAGGTGCTTATTTTTTGTTGTATAATTTGGCTATGCATCCTGTTTAAGAAAGATATTTCAGCTATGCAGGATATCCGCGCACCTGGAAAGTCATGAGAAATCAGGGAAAGTCATGAATTTCGGTATTGAACAAAATTTGTCATGATTTTTACTATTTTTTTTAAAGAAAATCATGGAAAGTCATGGATTTAGGTCACCAAAAAAACTAATTTTTAAATTGGAATTTAAAAATACCCTCCCATTTCATGGTGTTCTGAATATCTGAATTTGTAATAAATTGTAATCCACATTAAATCCATTTTATTAAAATGTAAAATGTTTTTATCATGTTTTAAATGAAAGAAAAAACATCATTTCTAGAGCAAATTATCTTTTAAACTTCTGTGATTTCAAAATTTATTACTTGTTTTTGATTTTATCAATTTAAAATTCTAGCTGAAGCAAGCCAGTCATTGGCAATTTTTTTTAAATTCCGAAATGAGAACAGAAAAATCAGGAGTATTTCTTTCCTTTCGGATGAGCAAGAAAAGTATCTTTAGAATATAATTCTGCAGAAAAAAATTATTTGCTTTTGTACTTTTTTCGGCTATTTTATTGCTTCAACTCTTTCTTTACACTGTTTTTTTTTTTTTTTTTTTTTTTTTTTTTTTTTTTTTTTTTTTTTTTAAATTTAATGTCTTTAAATATGATGATGCAGAATATAACAGTTTTGGTTATACCTATCATTTCAATTTGTGTTATTATAATGCTTTTTTAAATTTCTTGTGTTTTTGTTAGAGAAAATAGTAACTTTGTTAAGTTATGAAAAATTCTGGGAATTAGTCATGGAAAGTCATGAATTTGAAAATCTAAAATGTAGCAGATACCCTGGCTATGCTAAACTATTTCATTTACTATCCATTATTTAAGTATATTCAGCTGTTCCTTTGTTTTATGTGTTTCTCCATCCATTGAAACTAGTTTAGTTAGCTCATACAACAGTGCAGTAAATCTTTTGTATATTGTGTATAAAGCCTGCAAGGAAAACACGGGGGGGGGGGGAATTTCCNAATTTCCAAATATCAGTGGCAACCTCAACTGGAAATATTTTTTTGTGTAAGTAGATGATTGTTTTTTTTTTTTAATTATAAAAATTTCAAATGAAATAAAGTGAAACCTCTGGGGAGCGACCACTCTCCGTTCTACCTTAAAATGGTCGCTGGTGAAATTGAGTCTCTCTTAGAGGTTACCTCCATTGTCTTCAAAATTGTTATCGAAGGTACGTGATGATCCCAAGTGATATAATTATGTATAAAAACAAATTTAACCATTGTGTATTTTAATTAAGTTTGTATTTAATTTTATATCATAAAAATGATTAGCTTTTAAAGATTAAAAAAAAAGGTTTGTTTGTTTGAAATGTTTGTTTTTTCTTAAAATAACTTTTTTTTTTTTCTAATTTAACTTTCAACTCCAAAAATATATCATTGACAGCAGCATCTTTAGTGCACTCTGAATACAACATGACGTTGTATTGTTAAAAGAGTGCTCTCTAAATAAGAGCCTCACACAAATA